TGGAATTTGTATTTCCTAATATGGTGGGATGAAAATACCCAGTACAATACTGCAAAATTACGGCACGCTGTGAGTTATGGCGTTACAGTGACAGCTGTATAACAATAAGTCATATTATAATAATTCTGCATACAATAAATGCAATATTTGGTTCATGTCTGATTAATATCAGAAATGGGCTTATAATAGCCATTAATTCATTAAACCAAAAATTGCACGACTACACGCATGCTGACCATAGACACACCTGTTATTTGCGTGAATTCGCTAGTAATACAGTAACAAATGCCATATGCACTTTGAGGATTCATCACAGCTGGAGACCCTCATTAAAGCAACATGTAAAACACCTCAGGGTGGGGGGGGGTGACATCACATGCAAAATCTTTAGATTTTAAAATTGCATTCTATTAACTAAATTTCAAACTAGAGAAAAAAATACAGTTACCAAGTAACCATGGCAACACTGCTTCATATTCTGATGAACAACAAAAAAAGGCACTTTGCTTTATTCAAATCTCAGGGTGGTATGGAGATGTTAAAATTGTATTCTGTTGGTACTAAATTTCAAACTAGAGGGAAAAAATGCAATTACCAAGTAACCATGGTAACACTGCCGCATATTCAGACGAACAACAAAAAAGGGCACTTCACTTTATTTGAATTTAGAACTACGCTATTAAGTAAATGACCACACTATTAGGCGCACTAAAGAATTAAACGACATGATATTTACAATAAAACATCATTTAACAAAATTGATAAAATTCTTAATGTCAGCCCTGACTATTACTATGGTAACACACCACCACAAGTGGGTATGCATTTAATGGAAGCATGGTTGGGACTTAAGAAATACATTGTACAAATAAAAACCTTGTAAGCTTTCATTAAAATCTATTCACAAGTTACAATATGTCTGGTATGGATGACGAGAATGAAGCGATGACCTCAAACGACCTAACATTTACAGTCAAAACACGTCCATCCTTCTCACGTACTTCAGGATTTATGCTAATCTGTAAGGTGCCCACTATTGCTCCTTTATGACAATAACTATTGTTTAAATGTTTACTGTGTTGAAAACTGAAGTTGTATGTACATAAACATAGAGAATTAGAATCTATATAGGATAAGTGGACCAGAATTAATTTTACAGTCGCAGTCAATCACCATAGAAACTGTCACCTACACTGTCAATGTACTTGGCTCTGGTAATAAAATCAACAGTCTGAAAACACATTGCCTTAGTTGCATATACTTATAAGCTCAATATTGGCATACCATATTCGCCTGATTAGAAGCATAATATATACTGAATTTTATAGATGTGCTGAAAATAAAGAAAAAAAAATACCCAAAACGGGTGCACAAAATGGTGATTACATTATCGGAACAATTTTTTGCAAGACATTTCTAAATAACATATTACTGTGCTTTGATTTCGTGAGAAACAAAAGTTTCAGAAGTTTGTGGGTCAGTGAAACTACGTAATTTCGTAGCAGTGAACATTTTTTTTCTGGGATCGTTAAGATGACAGGTCACAATAACTTTTGTTGTCACAAGCAACATCAAATCATCAGATGGAGAAAATTGAAAGTGCGGAAAATAAATGAGTATTATATTATTAACGATACATGCCATTATTTCATGATTCAATTGGAGGAGCATAACAACTATAACAACAAGTCTCCAAGTAATTGTAACCATTTATTGCGTTTGGGCACTGCACTGTCCTGGGTGATGGGTTGTATATTTCAATGCGTACTGTGCTAGCCTAATTCGATGAATGACTTGAAGTTGGCCTAGTTACAAGAACAGAATTACAATCACTTCATTTTAGACTGTCAAATTATAC